AGGCCCCACGACAGCCCCCTCGCTCTGTACAGCAAACTCAGCGCCTGCAGGCCCCCGCGCCTGCAGCTGGAGCAGCTGGGCCTGCTGCCCAGGGCGCCCCATGTCTGGAGGCCGTTCCTACAGGCCTCCCCTCATTTTTGAAGGCCCCCCCCCATGCTGCCCTCCCAGGACCCCTGGGAACCCACCTCAATGACCGGCAGCTTTGCTTCCTGTAGAACTAAAGGCACCTGGACAACACTGGTGCCTGTTCGAATGTTCTCAGGCCTGAGAGCGTTCACTTGCCAACCCCACCAGTCCCTGGGTTCCCCTCTCTAGTTTGGACTACGCAGCACATTCCAGAAGGTTCCAGGGTGGCGGCGTGGGGAACTAGAGGACAGATGGTCAAAGTAGGGCCCTTCCTTCCAAAGAGCAGCCAGTGCCTCCACATGCCCATTCTTTGACTCGCTGGGATGCGAGAAGGGCAGATGCAGCCACGTTTCATAGATGGGTAAACGGGCACCGAGCAATAGAGGGTGGTGTGACCAAGGTGCTCCGTTTCCCAGTTCGCAGGAACAGCCTTCTCCCCAGAGATTCGGGAGAGAGATCGGGGAGAAGGCCTGGGTGTTTCTGGGAGGGGGGACAGCTCCTGCTCCCTGGAAGGCGGAAGCCTGGGTATCCCTGGGCCCGATGGCGTAGGGATGAGGCCCCACAACTGCCACTGTAAGCCGTGTGGGGCCGGTGGAGACTGCAGCGGCAGAGAGGGGCAGGCCGGGGATCGCGGTGGGCAAGGCAGCTCGGCAGCTCCATGCTGAGTCACTTCCAGGCTGACGCTCCCAGAGCGTCCAGAGCAGGTGCAGTTGGCCTCAAGGTGGAGGCCCCTCCAGGGGGCCGCGTTCCTAAGAGACTGTGGTGAGCAGCCCCCCCACGTCTCCCCTATTTATGCGTAAAATGACTGAGACAAACTGTGTGAAACCGCAGTGGAGAAGCAATATGATCAAGAAATAAACCCTTGTCGTTCAAGCACCGAGACTGGGGTTGTTACTGCGCCATGACCCAGCTTCGCCTGACAGATCAGCCTTGGGAGCCGAGGCTGGGCATTCCCTGGTGGGACTGGATTCCCAAGGGTCCCCAGCCTTGGGCCCTCGTCCAGGCGGTATGTCCACCAGGAGACCAGGAGGGTTTTACACACCAGGTGAGGAGGTGGCTGAAGGCCAGAGCATGTCCTTTTCCAAGTTCCAGTCCTCCCAAACCCACCTACAGTTCCGCTCGGGCTAGAGTCACCGCTGCACCCGCCCTGGCAGCCTGCTCTCTGGGGGCCATCCTGAGACACCCACCGTCTCTACTGCGAGTGAAATTAAACAACAGCAATGGGCTGCCCACCGAGTTCCAGGCACAGCCACAGGCGGAGACCCAGACTCACATGTGCCTGGAGAATTCCCGTCAGCTGCAGGTGTCATCCACGTGAACTAGCACCATGCAACACGAGGAAAGAAATCTGTGATCATCCTGTGTGGGGCCCAGGGGGATGGGGGGCTTCATTTATGGCCAAACACATACCCCACGCCAGGGATTAGGGATCACATTACCCACCTGGAGGACTGACGGAGGAAGTGTTGACTGCTAATGAGCCACCCTGCCCCCAAGCCTCTCTCCTAGAAATTACCTGCAGTATTCATTTGGTCCTCATCAGATACCATTTTAAAAAATCTCTGTATCAAAAAATAAAAATAAAAATCTCTATCTGCATTGCAAGAGCCCAGAGGCCAAGGGTATCTTGCAGGCTCCAAGGGACCCTGACAACAGGGCCTTGGACGTCCCAGGGCACAGTGAACGCTACCTGACTGCTCTGCAGGGGGGGCTAATGTTCGGACACCCCAGCACCTTTACTACCCCCACCCCCTGCCCGCACTCCCTGCCTCCAGCTTGCTCCCCCCCTGGCTATCACAGAAGTGCAGAGTCGATGAGAAAACTAAAAGCTGGGACAATATTTGAGGAAGCTTTGGGTTTATTAAATCCCACTTCTCTGAGGGAGCTCATCCACCCCAGGTACGTCGAGTGAGGTAATGGCCCCGCTGCTGAAGGTGATGTGTAGAGTGTGACTATAATTTGTGTGGCTGGAAGGACAGGACCATGTCCCTGTGAGACAGTGCTCCACAGGCCCATGTGTCACCCCCTTGGGACTGGGAGGCGAGAGAAGTGATGTAAGTGGGCTGAAGCTTATACTGCTGGCTGGGCCACCAACAATAAACTCTTCTGCAGCATCCATGAAACTGACCTTGACATGCCCTTCAACAACCTTGGTCATCCCTGATGAATTTACCGAAACAAAGTGAATACTTACGCTACTGTTTTCAAAAGACTATAAAATCTAGCTCAGCCTGCATGGCTTAGTGGTTGAGCACTGATCTATGAACCAGAAGGTTCGATTCCCGGTCAGGGCACATGGCCAGGTTGCAGGCTCGATTCCCAGTGTGGGGCGTGCAGGAGGCAGCTGATCAATGATTCTCTCTCATCATTGATCTTTCTATCTCTCTCTCCCTCTCCTTCCTCTCTAAATTAATAAAAATTTATTTTTTTAAAATATATTTTAGTGATTTCTTACAGAGAGGAAGGGAGAGAGATAGAGAGTCAGAAACATCGATGAGAGAGAAACATCGATCAGCTGCCTCTGGCACATCTCCCACTAGGGATGTGCCCGCAACCCAGGTACATGCCCTTGACCGGAATCGAACCTGGGACCCTTCAGTCCGCAGGCCGACGCTCTATCCACTGAGCCAAACGGGTTTCAGCAATAAAAATATATTTTAAAAGATTAAAAGACTATAAAATCTAAAAGCCTCTTTTACACACTCTCCCAACAGATAACTTCTAAAGGGGTAGGAGGCTAAGATAGGTGAATGGCAAAAATCCAAGAAACAGAACACAATAGAAAGAACCTGGGAGATAAGCCATTTTTATAAAGCAAATAATCATGTTTGATTCACTCTATTTCATGGTTAGCAGTGGATTCTCTCTGAAGTAAAGAAAAGTTAACACGGGGCCAAATGTCTTTTTAAAAAAATATTTTTATTGATTTCAGAGAGGGAGAGGAAGAGAGATAGAAACATCAATGATGAAAGAGAATCACTGATCAGCTGCCTCCTGCACGCCCCACAATGGGGATCAAGCCTGCAACCCAGGCACATGCCCCTGACTGGAATTGAACCCGGGACCCTTCAGTCTGCAGGCTGACACTCGATCCACTGAGCCAAACCAGCTAGGGCCAGATGTTTTGTTTTTAAGCAGAGATTTGCATCTGTGTATGGAACTGGTTTTCAAAGGAGCAGAAGTGGTCTTTGATCTTTCGGAACCACTTGTCTTCAAATTCTTCCGAAGATGCAATCACCAAGGCGGCCAGGGCTGCAGGGCCCACACACTTCACCTCGCTGTGAACCTCGTCTTTTATTTTTTCTGGAACGATATCTTCTCCCATAACCTGCAGGAGGGAAAGAAACCAATAAAAGGGGCCCGAGCCGTGGCACACAGGACCACGCCGGTCTGTGGCGTAAAGGATTTCATGCAAGCAGGACTCCTTCGGCAGCGCGGGGACGATTCCAACCGTTCCAACGTTTCAAAAACATGTCTGACCAGAAGCAGCGATTGAGGACCCCGTGGGTAAAATATCACCCCGTTTCCGGTCTCATCCTTCCCGAGTGAACCAGTCGCAGAAGTGCTAATGCGGCAGCGGAACTGGTTAAGACACAGGAGGCCGAGTCACCTCCTCATCGCTGAGAGCATCTTCTCTGAGGGACCCTCCCTCCTGGTACAATGACTGAAGAGCAGGGCTTGGGCGAGATATACCTGCTGCGGGGACCACACAGATTCTTTCTCTTAGAAGTTCTCCAAAGAAGTCAAAGCAAGTGGCTTGCCCACCCTTTCCTGACCCAGAGAGACTCAATCCTTCAGAAATGGTACCACAGCAACCTCTGAGATTTAAGAAGCTGGCTGGCCCTCTGAAGGCACAATACTGCTCCCTACTGGTCAGAATCAGGTTCAGATTCTGCATTAGTTTCTCTTTGATAAAACAACAGGAAGATTAAGACATGTTCTTGCTTGGGAGGGTGGGGGGTGCTGGGAGGGGGGAATAAAGAGCCATCTATTCAAGCCATCATTCTATCTGAGCTCAGATGAGGGAGAAGCTGCCACAGAACAGGACGCGCTGGGAAAGGTGCCTAGAGGATGTGGATTCTGGCTGGGTCTTTGAGGATAGGACAGCAAGGAGGTGGAGGTGGGAAACCCATGGCAGATTCATTAGATACAGGCACATCAGTCTAGTGCAGCGGTTCTCAACCTGTGGGTCGCGACCCCTTTGGGGTCGAACGACCCTTTCACAGGGGTTGACTAAGACCATCGGAAAACACACATATAATTACATATTGTTTTTGTGATTAATCACTATGCTTTAATTATGTTCAATTTGTAACAATGAAATTGGGGGTCACCACAACATGAGGAACTGTATTAAAGGGTCGTGGCATTAGGAAGGTTGAGAACCACTGGTCTAGTGGAAGCAAAGGCTTGTGTAAGGAATCACTAGGTCAGGAGTGTGGGGTAACTCTCTGTGAGGCCTTGGACATCATTATCAAGGCTGTAAACTAGACCTGATACATTTCTGTTTTAAACAAGCAGGTAACATGGTCAAAGCAATGTTTGTTTGTTTTCAATCTTATTTTTCAATTATACTTGACATTCAGTACTATTTTACACTAGTTTCGGGTGTACAGCATAGTGATTAGACAAGTACATAATTTATGAATAAGTCTAGTACCGACCAGCACCATACATGGTTCTTGCAATATTACTGACTCCATTTCCTGTGCTGTACTTCACAAACCAGTGACTATTCTGTAACTACCATTCTGTACTTCCCAATCCCTCCCCCCTTTTCACCCAGTCCTCCAAGCACGGTTTTAAGATGAACTCAGCAGCAACGTTCAAGACAGATCTGAGGGGAGAAGGTAAGGAAGCAAGGCAGGATGAGCCGGAGGTCGCTGTGAGAGTCAACCGTGAGTTGGTAAGGACTGCGGTGCGAGTGGTGAAGAGAAATGAAAGGCGGACCCTGAAGAAAGGCTGGGCTTGGTGCCTGGCTGGAGGTGAGAACAGAGGATGCGGCTGTGAGGTTCCAGGTCTGGACAAACAAAGAATGACAGACAGGACGATGGAAAAAAAATAAGTTCAAGGAAGAGATGGCTCTCTCCGACTCCCCTTGATTCCCCTCCACAAACACTGCTGACGGCCAAGGCTGTGAAAGGCACTCCGTACGCCAGGCGCTGGTGGAAGGTGGGAAGTGTGTTGGTGAGCAGTTCCATTTTAGACATTCTGTAGCTGAAGTGGCAGCAGAATAATCAATAACCATCTCCGATTAACTGCTCAGTAGGTAATTACTCTGAGGTGTCAGACAAGCGCTCCAGAGCAGGGAGCAGAGAACCAGCAGACTGGAGGGTCAGCAGCCCCGAGGCGACCACTGAGCTACGGTGTGGTTACGAGGTTATGACTGCTGAGGGAGGAAGGCAGAGGGAATGGAGACCCTAAGTGACACCTGGGAGAATGCATCACTTAGGCCTCGGAGGAAGCTAGTGGTATCTCAAGAGGCAGAGGGATTGTAAGAAATACAGGAGAAAAGCGGACCAGTGTAGCCTCTCAGAGCAAAGGGAAGGGGAAACCGAAAGTGACTGGTCCACAGCTACATATCGATGGAAATCAGACGAAGGAAGGGCTACGGTCGGCTCAGGAGAGACAGGGTGCCCGGGCACGTCTGTGGGCTCAAGGGAGGGATCCCAGAGGAGGGGGAAGGTTGAAAAAGGCTCAGAGACAAGACAGGAGAGTGTGATCCCAGAACAGGGAAAAGGAGTCAAGGGGGAGCTTAGTTTGGGGAAGGGAGAAAGGAGC